TAGAAAAACATGTTAAAATATCGTTCATTAGTACTGCGACTATTTTAAATCTATTCCAAGCACGATTTTTCTTACTCTTGAAAAAGTGCTCAACAATTTGCAAAGGATTTTTAAATTCTTTCAAATTTGATTGTTATTTTACCAAACATCCATCAATAGACTAAAAACGGACAGCTATTTTTGTCAACTGCAATGCATTATCCGTTTCTTGAGAATCAAATGTTAGATAATAAAATTAATAAGCTCGTGTGAAATATACAAGAAGAGGATTTGATTAGTTTGACTCATACATTTGTGAAAACTTTCTGTAAGTCTTCAAACACACTGCCGACCATAAGTATTAACACATCTATCGATACGAAGTATAAATTTAATTCTCTTAGTCTCTAATTATTTTATCATAAATTTGTTATTTTATTTGCATATTCATATGCAGGTCACAATAAAATATGAAATGAAGCGAAATTTGTTCCATCTATCCCATAAATACATACAGTTAGTAACATAAGTATTGGCTCACTCTTTAAAACAGAATAACTTTTTCAGAAATGTATCGAATGACTTGAAGGTTTTTGAGAAGTTAGAAGGATTAGTTTACTAGATGACGAGTAAAAAAATTTTGAGAAAATTGTAATTGGTTGGAATCGCAGAAAATTAGTAAAAGTCACTTTTTACAACTTCTTTATCTGAGCTTGTAATGAAAATATAACAAATACGTTTTGCAGATTTATGTCAGTTACATATATGCTGAAAATGTCATTGAGATTGATTAACGTTGCTACGAGTTACAAACAGTTAAAAACAGCCGTTAATCGTAATGTACATTCTTGTTTATCTTTCGATGTCTGTTGCTTATTCTTACATCAATCGATTTCTATGAAATTTTCAGCACGTATATGACATAAATCTACAAAACGTATTTTTAAAATTGTCATTACAGTCTCAAATAAAAGAATTGTAAAAGGTAATCCTTGCTATTTTTCTTGCAATTTCAATCTGTAATTTTTTCAAGATTTTGTTCCACGCTTCATCCAGTAATTCTTTTAACTTTTCAAAAAAATTCAAATTGTTTGTTGCAATGTTAAAAAAGTTATTCTATTTGTAAAGAGTGTGACAATACTGCTCCTAACGCGTATGACATGTAATAAATATTTATATACCTAGTTATGGCTGGTAGCGTATTTTTGTGAGCCATCGTATGCACACGATTCTCTTTGTAAGAGAGTTTATCGAGCTTCCGTTCTTCCTTCTCTTTTATCTCTTTCTTGAAGTCCGATGACGCGGAGGATCGCGTTTGGCCGCAGACCAATTTCGGTTGAACGCTCTACAGCTGGTCCTCACGTACGCGCGGTCGTCTTAGCGGTGTCCCTCGGAACCAGGAATTTCCCGACTTCTCTGCTATGTACATACTAACCGTTTACAGGATGTATACGCGGGAGCCTTTCGCCACGAATTTGCAAAGAGCCCGTCCATTTGCATATTCGCGGCCGCGCATAAACCATGGTTAGCTGAAAGACGTTTTGTAATCAGGTTCGCGGCCCATTTATAGTTCACTTTAACGATTAACGCGGCTACGAGCCGTTTAATAACCAGTGACACGACACACGACATCGACTAATGCTCGTCTATAAATTTGATCACCGTACACCACGTAAATCCACTGATGATGGCTTAATCGTTACGATGAAAGTGAAAGCGCAGACGAGTTTGTGCTTCTTTAGTTTGTTTCTTTGTTTAGAGGAATTTGACGGTTTGTGTTGTTGGCTGGGTTCATATTGTTAATTTTTGTGGATTTTTCTAGATATACCTTTATGATATTTAGGAAGATTTGGTAGAATTTAGGAAGAATGTTTTTTGAAAATTCGATTATCGATATCTAAGATTAGATTTTTTAAATCAATAATGCAGTAATTTATATTTACATGACTTGTGGATTTCTTAAGATGAATATCGCTTTTCTGGCCATTAATTTGTTGTTAGTTTTCATATTTCCATAATTATGTATTTGTTTTATTTGCTTAGATAATGTTGTCACAAATGTAAATTAAAATATATCTTAATCCTCAACCCTAAAAAATATCGTCATTTAAAGCTCATTAGTTTCCGTGTATAAGCAGAGTTAGATACCAAAATTTATTGCTCTTAGAAAGAGATAACATTATACTCGTACGACAAGGGCTTAACTTTCGTGCAGTATATATAATGGCGATCATATAAGTAGGGACAGTCTTTATATAAAAGTTTTAGCGTATATCTAAAAAATACATTTTTTGCATTAAGTCTGTATTTCCCATCCTCCTGAACATTTTAAAAGTATGGATCGTAATATAACAAAAATCCTTGATCTATATCATTTATCAATTTTCTATCTTTTCTGTACTCGATGCATTATTCCCTTTTTCAATTACGTTGTATTGCTCCCTTTTAGATATTGAATGGCGAAAGTCGAAATGGTTAAAATCTACAAAAATAGACTTATCATATCGATTTCCTGCGATCCTCACGTTTTATTACATATCTCGACAAAATCCATTTCATCCACTCATCCTTCAGTCTAGAACAATTCAATAACGATCTAAATCGGCGATCAACTGGTAGAGATTAATCTTGAATCGTGTTTCCATCGATGGAATGGATACGATAAGTTGATCCAACGGTTTAACAACAGAATTCAATTCTATTCGGCTGATCGATCGAGATTAGTTTTAAATCGTGGTAACACCACACATTCTTATTGTTAGTCGACATTGACTGGAGGCGAAGTTGCTGATCATTTCCACGAGTTTATATATGATGTTGATTCCGTGTTTACGCAGCACCGGTGTTCGGTTTTCTGTTAATTCCGGCGTAGGCGAGCGTTAATTTTGGATCAGATTTTCAGTCGGATTTCCTAGGATGATCCAATGATTTAATGATTAAAACGGCTGGTCGGCCGATCTCTGCTCGATCCCAGATTAAGTCTGGATTATGTTGGCTAATCGTGAATTCTGGATTAGCTATCGGGGACACGTTTGACAGCATAATTTGATACTGTGATGCTTTTCTCCATGGCCGATTCAATGTCGAACACCGACCTAACTGATAGCGGTACGCTAACGTGAATTTCCGTTTGTACTAACGACTATCTTGGTAGTGACGTCTGATTATTTAATTCTTCTGTCCGATTTGAAATATCTGGATGAGGTACAACGGCACGAATAGAAGCTAAACATGTAATAAATTTTGCATTTGGAGTTTAACACTAGAGCTACTCGGTTATGATTGCAGAATTCGTATCAAAGAGGTGGAAATGTGAGGTATAGTACCATTAAAAAGTATCGAACACTTATTCTTCATGAAGTATATTTTAATTACAAAATTAAGGACAGATCGAATTGCAATAATTTTAATCTTTATCCTCGTGGTAGCTACATTGTGGAATGTGACGAAACGATTAAGCTGAATTGTAAAAGTCAATATGTAATAACGAGACTGATGTTTGCAATCAAATAAATCTTATAAAACTAGTTTGTTATCTGACAAACTCTTTGTGATAGATTCGCCATTGCTAACGTTGTGTTGTTTAAGTTTTTGACAATCTAGTTATTAACTTTCAGTAATAACTAATTAACGCAACTGTTGAGTTGTTGCTTTTATGTTTCGACAAAATTATTTAGAAGAACAAAAGTAACAACAAGCGAATGAAGTTAAAGCAAATATTATTAGTTAAAATAAGAATATTTCTGATGATATATTCCGTTTGTATAATAATTTTACAACTAATGATATTAATGAATCGAAAAGTCGCAAGTTGTAGGTTACTTCTCTTTTGCGATTTTATTATGGTACGTCAAATAGAATAATCAGATTTGTTACTTGTAGAATTTACTTAGAAAATTTTATTTGTCTCTATTATGCAAAAGAATTGATTAATGTTAACTGATATTGCCTGTTCAATAGGGCAAAGGCCATATTTTGTTAGCAGTCAACTGTATTAATTGATATTTTAGAATCGTATCAAACATGTGAAACATATCAAAAATCGTAATGTCACTCAAAAATTACAACATACTGAGGAATTCGAACACAAGAAATTTTTTATTGTGATAATGAAGAAAATAAAATGAAAAGATTTTAGAAAGGTGATTCACAGGAGAAACTTGAAACAATCGGGTTCTTAAAAACGAAGATTCGTTGGTCGGACACCGAAACAGGATCGATAGGATGAGCTGCGATATCGATGATGCGCAACATTCAAATCAAGCAGGCTAACTAGTTCGAACGCAATTCTGATCGGATTTCAATTTACGAGCAGTTCAGAGTGGATGGTCCACTATTTAGAACTTCAACATTTAATTCGGTAGTTGGGTTAGCATTGAATCAGATTCCGCGTTTCAGATAGAATCTATCCTTATCGAGAATCAACTGGTCCACAATATCAAAAAGAATATCCTTATTCACTTTGAAACAAGTGCGATAAAATGATCCTCGTTACTACTAATGAATGAAATTCGAGAGATCGAGGAAATAAATTTCAACAAATTAAAAAAAAAAACGTTTCAACGATCATGATACAAACACTGGATAGTCAGATTTCGGAAGGAAAAGGACGATCCACGACTTCAATGATTTCAAAACTATTCAAATATTTTTCCAAAGAGTCTACATTTCTCAATGTTCCAGGTATTCTACATTTCCCAAAATTCTACAAAATAATAATTGATTCTCTTCAGCCCCGAATGCAGAAATTTCCATCAAATATATTACACAATCTCCCGAGAAGGATTCCGATAATCAATAACTAATGAAACAAATTGCAATCCGCAATTGTAAAAGTAAAAAGAACAAATGAGAAAGTAAAAGAAAGAACAACAATTACCCGATAGAAAAGGAAAGATCAATGAGAATATAGGGACGATCTGGACCACGATCGTGTTCTGGCTCAGTGTTCTGGACAGAATTTATATGTGGTCCACGGATGGCGCACGCTGACTCGAAATCGAACACTAGCTGGCCCCTACCTGGGTATCGTTGATGCTCCTGTGTCTTACCCTCCTGAACAAAGTGCGGGCTGTGAAGAACCGTGGCGTCGCTCATCGCGTGCTCCGTCATGATCCTCAGCGAGAGAACCAGTCCTGAGTAACTCCTCTCCGCTGGTAGATCGGTGATCTCTAGCATGCTAGGCGTCATGCTAGTCGCGGACGCCAATAGGCGCCTGGTGTCTGCGTCGAAGACTTGCAGCACATAGGTGGCAGTGCGCGGGTCGATGTACTCGCTCTCGGCGCAGCTCACCCTGACCGTTGTCCGACTCTCTTCCCTGATTGTACAATTCTCCGGGGGTGGAGGTTGCGCCAGCCTCTCACCTGCTACCATACCGGGCACAACACACCAGCCTCAGCCATCTTCTACAGCTACTTCGGCGAATGTTACGAGGGTAAAAGGAGGGCAGGTCGAAGGGTTCCTTCTTATGTACAGAGCGTCACAAAATATGTGAGGGATATTTTGATGGTTCAGAAGTTAATTGGTGCAAGTTAGTCTTTTATATTCGTACTCTGTCATTATTAGAATGTTTAAACTGTTTTGACAACGAAGGGGTGTTTACATCTTATAAGGGGGTAGTATAAGTCATTTTTCATGAAAGATTGACTTACGTTGACTGACTTTTGAGTTCTACATTTATAGGATCGATTTTAAACATCTAAACCATTGAAAAAGTTTATATAGGAAAATGTCGTCTGAGGGATATCTTGCATGTTATAAACAACTTTGTTCTATGGTAGAAATATGAGTCACTCATTTGCAAACTCGGTTAATTTGGTAAAAAACAAAAAAAAAAAAGAAAAAATTGAAAAATCAATGAAAGTGTACAAGGTAAGAATCGAGTGCTTTGGCACTAAAATTGACAAAAATGTCAAAAGGTGCAGTTAATACTGTCATATATCGCTCATATATATCGATATTGATGAACCAGCTGGTGAACCGTTTTTATCCTATTTGTACTTCGTACCTTTCTTTTTAAAATTCATGTAGATAAATGACATAGGGTATGGACTGTTATATGATTGTTAAATATACGAATGAATTTTTCAAAAGTCACACTAATCAACTGTATTTCATTTTTTCTTATATTCCTTACTATTTTCTTTTTTTTCAATTATCCACGCTAATAAGTTAAAGGTGACGATGTTACAAATATTACTTTTGAAGTTCATCATGGAATTTTCTATTATTTATATCATCTAGCTGCGATAAATGAATTCATAGAAATAAATCCTTTACTTTTTAAAATGAAATTGTTAATTTTTTTAAGTTCCAGATTATTTACAGTCTATCTAAGACAATAAGTAAGTTTTGTAATGGAACGTTGACAATATACGTAGATACTTGCTCAGCGGCTGACTATCGTTAATTATTTATATTTACTGAGGGCTAGCTTGAACTCAACTAAATCGCATTATGAGGTCTGTCGATATGCCGAGAATTTCTGGACTCTAATCTTTGCTCCATTTCCTACTCAAAACGTTTTTGCTAATTGATTGGGATGTGAGCTGAGCTTGTATTTGTGTCTGCTTGCGTAGCTAGTGTTATTTCTCCCTCAACGAAAAATTATTTATAACTTGAAAGATATGCTTCAAAAGACATTTTTGTATATGAACATCTTTCTTCGTCTTGATATCTAGAATCGATCCTATAAATCCTGCAAATATTTTGTGACACTCTATAGAGAATGAAGAAGGTGTTCGTTCCTTTGCTCTTTTTTGTACAGTTGGGATGGTACTGATTTGGTGCTAGAGTTTTTGTTGCCCCCTTTGTGGATTCTCCTTAAGGCATGGGTTAAATGGAGGTTCAAAGTGAGATTGGGATAAGTTTTTCAGCGGCGCCGTGCGTCGCAAAGGGGTGCTTTCCTTTTGCTCGGTCGAAGGGACAACTTCAGTCCTGTATTCCTGGATAACGCGTTTCTGTATTCCGTTTGTCCGGCGTTGATGATGTGCTCAACGCTGGCAAACGTTCATGTCGGATGATTCTTTTCTCTCTTTTGGTTTTGTTTCGGGAGAAGAGGCAGTGAAGGGCTTTTCGAAAGGAATTTTCGTTATTTTCGTCGATTTTTCGTCATTATAGAGGTTAGAGTGTATAGAATTATTTTAACATTAGAACTATTATATTCGTCGAAGTAATGAGTTTCAGATTTGTTGTCTTTGCAATTACTGAGAATATGGAGGTATTTTGACATTTTATTATAACAGAAATGTAATTACGTATATCTAATTATCTTAATCAATTATATGCAACTATGTATAACTAATGTCAAAGGGTGAAATTAATTGTGATCCAACAAGTTTTTATAAAAAAATAATCGATACATTTTCAGTACATTTAAAGTCAACAACGTTTTAATTCACCACTATTTAATCAGTCCCTATCTTCGATGTTATCGTTAAAATGGAAAAAGTCCACCATTATTTATCGAACAATTTGAAAACTTCGACTAAACAAACGTTCAGTACACCAAAAATAAATGAAAAACCATCACGTATGCATCACTTTTAATCCAAAAAGAATTTTCTTGAAAGAAGAAATTTCAGATAAATTGCGAACGTAACCGATTTTTAAGCAACATCTCGGAAGTCCTCGTTTTTTGAGTAAGCTCGATCGCGACGAATTTCCAGCCGAAAACGTAGCAACCTGCCCCAGCTCATGTTTCTCATTCGGTGCGCGAACGTGTTTTAATATAAACGTCAAAGCGTAATCGATATCCGCCAGAAGATTAGACAGGTCGGTATCGATATCGAACTGTTCGATCCAACACGTTGCGTAACAAGCGTCTGCCTTTCCGTTTCGAGGCTAAGTCCGTGCCGGAAGTGTGGCGAGGTGGCTATTTTATCGAACGAAATATTCGTCTGACTCGATGGAAGAAGCGTTTACACGCGCGAACGAGCCCGAACTGACAGGATCTTTTTTTCCCCTGCCCTCTTTCTCGTTCCGCCAAGGCGTGTGAAGGTTCGAGTTCGACGAGGGTACAAGCCAATAAACCGACTAGTGAGAATCGAGCAACGTTGGTCAACGATATCGACTGTCTCGATGAATAGAGATTCGTTTAACACATTCCTGTCGTCCCGGCCAGTGTTCGTCTGGAATTGAACCACTTCTTTGCCAAATCGGTTAATCTTGCAAAACAATATGTAGGGAAAATTAGTTGGAATTATATGAAAATTAAAAAAAAAATTAAAATAAAAAATTTAAAAGTTAGAAATAAAATTTTAAAAAAATTCGAAAATGAGGTTGTATACGACCTGTGAACGACTAGATTAGTGGAGATGGTGGGTTTTTAAGCATTTATGAGAAATTTGAAAGTGCGAAAATGCGCAGAATGCAGATGACTCACGATAGTATGAAGTATCAAGAGTATAGTTTCTATAGTATAATGTTTCTATGAGCATATAATAAAGCAGCATTTCTATTGTTTCAGTCACTGCTCGCTTATAATTAGATAATAAATTCATAGTTCATCCAAATTCAAATTTCTGTAAGAAGAGTTAAAGGTCTAGATCATGAACAATTTTTAAGCGAAACATTTAATTATCATTATTATTATGACGAGAGAATTTTATTTATTTGTATATGAATATTAGAATAATAAATATTTCAGCGTAACGTTAATTTCTAAATGAAAGAATTTAAAGCTTTTTCTCACGATTTCGACAAAAAGCTTTAAATGTAAAATTACGAAATATTCAACGTCAGGAAAATGGATTAAAATTTTTATATCGAAGCGTTTTACACAAATGTGATTAACAAAAATGTGATTTGCATTTTAAATGTCGATAATATGTTGCAATTATCTTACATATTATCTTGTTTAAAGCAGGTAACCGTACATGCTGAAGAAAAAAAAGGATCACTTTTTTCTGTTTCACCGAGCTGTAAATCACTGACGTACTACTTGACACTTTGCCAGCTCATTTATTGACACAAACCACTGCGCGCAAGAGATCCAACTACATTCGAGAACAAACAAAATTATCTGGTTTACAATCTCGTGTTACTTTTATCGAATAGTCGTGCTACGTTTAAACGCTATTTAATCCCGTTTTTCTCCGAAACACCCTCGAAAACAATCGTTAACAAAATTCGCGGAACTCTCGCATTTTTATTTCAACTTTTTGCCGTTAGAGGAAAGCGATGTATTCTGTTTTTTTTCGAGATATCGATTATATCAGAAATGAAATGCAACTAGAGTACTATCTTTTATATTGCATTTCGGATGGAGTATGTTATTATTGTTAGTAGAGATTTAATTTATTTTGATATTTGTATAACAATTCAGAGGAACAACATTCGGAAGATTAAACCATAATCGATGATCTTCGGTAATATTTCACTTAATTTTTGAATTTTCAATGTATTAATCGAATAAAATTATATGCAAAAGTATAGATATCATCAGAAATATGTAAATTCAACATATTCTATAAGCAAGCTCAACGAAGTTGAACACAAATTGTTATTGGAACACAAATGAAATTGAAGATTAAAAGCTTGCTTTGTTTAAATACGAAAAATTCGAGTTAAGCTTAGTTGGTTCAACCAACGCTATCGGCCGAGAAAACTGAAGTTAAAGCATCTATGAGGAATCAAATTAAACATTAAGAATTTTGCGTTGCCAATTACGAAGAACCTAAATCAAATTTAATTTAGCCGGCTCTGAAGTCAAATAAAATGAAATTAAGCTAAAACCAAATATCGAGTTTCTTTGGATCAATTATGAACCACCTAAATCGAATCTAGCTCGATCGATTCTGCAAACAAGCATAATACCATTTATGAAGAATGCTCTTATTGATTAAAAGTATATAGGAATGTCAAAGACGCCTTCTGATCAATTACGAATCCAAATTAAACCCAACTCAAACGATTCAGCAATCAGGCACGATAAAAATGTAAAATTATTTGTAAAGAGTCTAACCATTGATTAAAACCAAATATCGAAGGTTCCTTTTGATCAATTATGAACTATTTTAATCAAATATACTTTAATATTAGCATTGACGACAATTGGAATGTGAAACTTGTGCCAAAGAAATTTATATGAAAATATACACGCCAAAAATAACTAGAGGAGAGAGCTTTTATGAACGATATTAGTGTAGAATTCAAACAAATCGATATTCTATCGGCTTAATAGATTAAAATGTTATTCACACACTGTTGTCATAATGATTTGCTTGAAAATAATAACTAAAAAAATGTACTGATAGAAAAAGTGAATATAGAAATAAAAAATGGCATGCTAAACGTTCCTTTAATTGATCTAGTTAATAGTGTGTATAATACAAAGTGATACATAAAATAGATCGTTGCAACCTTAAAACTAACCTATCGATCTACATTTCTATGAACGATTGGAACTTGATCATTTTAACCATTTTAATAGATAGCCTTAGTATCAAACAATATTACAAGTGAGCACGATGAAACGAAATATGCGAAAATAGTATTTTAATACAATATAATTGGAAATGAAAACAACTTGTTAAATTTAAAAATAAGCATCTTAAAAGTAGCTTTGAAGTTAACGAAATTTCATTGCAAATTCCAAAGCCTAACACAACTATTAAGACAAGCAACGATTTCATATTTTAATATCTAATATGTTAATTTAATTTTTTAACATTATGTCGAGCACTGTTTTTAAGATTATACACAACATTATTTTGGAATAATACGTGTTCAGTTCCAAAACTGAATAAAAAGACAATTTTGGTAATATGTATATTAACGTGGAGGCTTAAGAAATCGTTCTTTTGTAAAAAATAAAAAATGTGACATATCATGTTCTCCTATAGCCTGCATTTACGAAGAATATACAAAAACATCTTCTAATCGAATTAGAAAAAAATAAAAAACCGTATATCGTAATCGAGTTCTCTGTTCGTCGTTAATAAAATGCACAGAGAGAATTAGAATGCGGGCCAACAGCCAGAAACAATGTACACCGATTTCCAGTTAGCCAACGAACAGAATAGGTTGAGTCAACGACAAGAGAGGAGAACGGCCGCCGACCACCCCCAAGTTCCCTACCCCAATTAGCCACGCATTATTAACGCGTACTGTACACAGGCCGCGTTTACGGCCAGCTTGGACCCAGTTTCCACCGTTAATTGTTAGCAATTAGCAGGAAGAATGTGCTCGCAATCTGGCAGAGTCGGAATCCGGGACAAAATTATTTTGCCGGCCTACAGGGGAGATTCCTTTTCCAGAACCTGCCTCCTCATCTCCTGGCTACCGTAAAGAAGAAAGATTTTCCCAGAATATCCCCTTTTTCAACGCTTCTATCCTGTACCTCATTAATTTTCTCGGTAATTCATCTGCTTCGTTCTCTTGCCATAATGTTAACTTAAGTTATGCTTATGATGTTTAATTATGTTTGATTAGGTGCGAGATGCAGTAAATATTTTTCTTATTTACTTCTCGTTAGATATAGTAGAAAAGAATTTGTTTTCCAGATTCATTTTAATTTCATATATTGTTTCTCTTTGGTTTGATATGATTCTGATTTCAGATTTATGATATTGGGATTGATTAACCGATTCAGGACGGACAATGGTATTTGATATTTTGTTGAATTATTGAATGATGGACTACCACTTTTCAGTGAGTATTTTTCAAGCCTTTTTGATTAGGACTTCAGGATGTGCATTTCAATATTGCCGAAGAATAGAAAAAACCAGTAATTAAAAAACGGGACGAATCGAGTTTCTTTGTTCTTTTGATGTATTCCAATTATTGCAATAAAATGTAATACTCTGCCAAAAAAGAGTGAGTAATATATTTGCTATTTTAATGATTATTATAATAAAGTTGTAAAATACAGTATATATTACTTTGCCACAAACTAATTGTTTAATAGATACCATCGTTTTATATAATTGAGCAGGGTATATAAATAACACATATTATAGCGAATATACTAATTTAGTAAACGTGTAAGCTTTCTAATTAATGCATGCTATTACATCCTAATTTCATAAGTAAATATATCCATAAGTAATGAAATATGAACTTCTACTGCAACAAATATATTACGCAATTTAATAAGAATACATTAATAAGAATACATTTTTTGGACACTTCTTTTTGTATTTGTCGATATTTTTATAAAAATTTGTACATATAAATTGTTCAGTACATATTTATTAAATCCTATATTTAATACACTACGTATTCATTAAATTTTATTAAACTCTAGGATTGCGTTTGTTCATTTTATCGATGCCTAATAAAAAATGTTCTTTAAAAAACTTTGTCCTGAAAGGGTTAAGCAATTAATGAATTGATTTTGATTGTTATGAAGCATTCGATAAATAAACAAGTTAATTATCAGACTTTTTGACTAGAGGAAGTTCTCGTCGCTAATTAATTACAAACAGTCAAATATTAAACAATTGAACATCGTTCGACCTAGCAGAGATTTCAAGTGAAACAATTGACATTCTTATCAGCCTAAAGGCGTCGTAACTGATCTTCAATAGGTAACTTGATTTCCATACAGTATCACTGTGCTTCCACAGAATCGAATTCGAAAGCAAACCAGTCTAGTTCAATTCGTTAGTGAACGCCATGAAGTTTATTATCATAATCGAGCCATTAATTAAATCCATTGCCGTCAATTAATTGTCCCCATAAATCACAACGCTATATTATAGTGATTAATTTCTATTTCATCCTTATTAATTCCACAAACTAACTAGTGAATACAGTACCAAATAAGAAAGAAGAGAGAAAGAGAACGAAAAGTGTTATCGCAGAAGGAATTAATTTAGAAAAAGATGTATAGATTTTTCTCATTGTCAAATCCGTAGAATCGTTAGAATGGTGGTTTGGATACATTTTTCGTTCGTGGTGTCACTATGACTGACGAGATGTGAACTGTGTAGAGCATAGGGGACGATAATCGAGTTCGACAGGGGCCGGAAGTCCGTCGATTTGGGTTGACTGATGGTGATCGAGGGTCGAAACGATCGATATCGAATGCCTAATCGCGCGTCTACGATACCAGAGACCGAGTAAACGCTGCAATGTGACAATGTCGACACTAACTGACACTTTTTCCTTTGTAAAACTGCAGTCTAATCAAGATAATGGAACTATGTGAACTCTTTGAGAAAAGCACGCTTTGCAACACGATGCAAGATCTGTTCTTCACTTAATGATAAACTGTATTGATAACTGTACTGCACTGATAGCTATGAAAATGTTATACATATATGCTGTATGTGTCATATAAAATATTTTGATATTACATTAGCGCTGAAAATTGAAACCTCATGTAACAATGTTACGATGGTTATAAATTTGAAACCAATCTGAAAAGTGTACATATACAGAAATTAGGATATTAAATGATATATTCTAATAAATTTCTACATTTTGCTTCGCTTTCATCCCTAACGCGAACGACATTCTGTCTGCTTACGGATGGAACAATCTTAACAGCAAAGAAAAAGAAAGAAGAAGGAAAGGTAGAAAATCACAGAATACCATCGAATCGTCATTTAACCGTCAAAATCCTTCAGCAACATGATGGTTCTCTAGAGAAAAACCCTGTCAGGTTCCATTTCGGATTTCCAGGTATATAAAGTTGGTCCACGGAAGACTCATCGACGCCTGTATTGCAGCGTTTGCTCGTTCTTGCCTTGTGGATCGTAAATAAACCGGCCGGAGAGAGTATTTCTCTAATGGGGGGAGGGGGTGGCAGTAGAACGGGAGGATCGATGAGGAGCAGCAGAGAGATCAATGGTTGGAACGGAACCATGGAAAGAGGCGGGCCACGCGTATATATCTATGTTCGTGACAGAGAGAAAGAGTCAGAAAAATGGAGGACGAACAGGGGTGGGAGCATTAAAAAAGAAGAAATATAGATAATCACGTGAGTTCTACGATGCAAGGCCGTGCAGCGTAGCAGACAGTGCTCAAATGAGGTCACAAGTGTGTGGCACGTTAATTTTAACGATCGATCTCATACGATCGATCCTTATTCGTGAGAAATAGGCTGCTCATGTATTAATTTTGAATATTATTTCGAGTTGGATTGAAACTCGAGATTGAAACTCACCTGTTCGCCTTTCGGGTAGATTCAGCGTGGTTGCACGGAAGTGAACCGTCTCGCTGCGGCCTTTGCTGTTGCTCGCGTATATGTGTACATCGTAGGTGGTGCCAGGCTCGAGGTTGCTCACCGAAAAAGACGGTACTTTGCTCGTTTGATTGTAGACCGTCGTGCTCGGTTTCGACGACGTACTGCTGGTTCCCACCTCACGGTCCACCTGTATCGTGAACTTTTGCGGCAGACCGCCGTCGAACCCCTCTGTGCACTCCACGTATAGCGAGTCCGTTGTCTGGTTCAGAAGAGAGCAATTGTGTGGCGTATCTGGGTGACCTGCAAAGCCGAATAATTAGTACGATCGCGACTCGAATCACAAGTTTCTACGGTTCGTAGTGTCTAGGCAACGTAGCGTGTATTTTCAGTAACCCTTTGTGAGATTGTGTCACGAATATACGTATATAATGGCTTAGAAAGTAGTTTTTCCGTTTTAGTGGTACATTATTGCATTTACTATAGCACTTACATATTATTTAACGAGGTCCAAATTTTGTAACATTCGATGGTGCTTTCGTAGGAATGTAAAAATGTATTAGGAAGTCAAATATAGAGCCTCGTTAAAAATGTTTCATTGGAAAATAAGGGTAGGTGCTAACAATTTTTGTAGCCGTTATATAATATGTTATAAACGTGCGTAAAGCAGTTATGAAGGAAAACGTTCGGTCAAATTAATGATACGTTTCAATCGCATATTTAATGGACTTCTAACCAAGATCTTTATCGAAAAACTTGTATACTTTGATATCTGGTGAAGTTTAGTATTATTTAATATTTTTTGGTCATATTTTTCCAAATTGTAAATTTATTAGTTGAGATATTTTTATTCCGCCCACAAATCGTTACATACATAACAAAGTAGCTATGATGCGGCACAATAAAAAAGATCATATTGTTTTTTTTATATTGTTTCATACTATTTTATGTAGTATCGTGGATGAAAGGCCTAAGAGATATCGGGTGAACCATAAACAATGTCGCGAGAGCCGAGGCACCGTCGGGCCCATCAAAGTGTCGTCGGTCCTTTCAAGTGCATAGTTCGTAGAAAAGACCTACGTGACCCTGGCCACGAGCGTCTGCAGAACACGTGTGCGGTGGGCCTGGTAAAAGACAATGGAAGGCTACGACGGCCAGAGAGAGTCGAGAAGCAGCGTGCGA